ACACACTTCACGCCTGATGCATCTACTGCTCCGTGTTGACACCGACGCCGGGTCATATTCACGATGATGAAACGGAGCTGAGCGTAGATGCAGTGTGGGCCACAATTTGGCGTAATAGCGTAGCATTGTCATTGGGCAACAATTTGTGGTGGCGGGTGGAAGAGCGCTGGCGGCACTTAGTGTGTCAAAGGCTGACACCACCCTAAAACAGGCAGTCATGTTGGCTCCCTATTTGCGCTTGATACATGCCTTAAATGCCTTGGTAGTGTCAGAGCCTGGTTCAAACACTTCGCTGTACATTTTTGTTACAGGAACTGAATTTGACACACGCTGAATGCACATCACTTCATGCCATGTAATTTAATTCTGTTTAGCCAGTTCCGACCAAACAATGTTGGCATCCTAGCTCTTCCAGTACCTTTTGCTATGACCAGAGCCAGAGAAAAGCGTTGCTCGTAATATCGAACACCTACTTCTGGATATCTTCAATTCTCTTGTCGACGACTGGACCCCCCCAGCACCAATATAACCAGCCCCCGACCTCAGTACACGGAAGATTTTTGGTGAGCGAACTTTTTCCGACCCAGGTGATAGAGACGCTAACCCTAACGACAAACTCGCACTGCTCGCGGCACCTGATGCTTGCGTGGCGGCTGCCACAACTGCTCCTCGCTGCGACGCCGGTGCCGCCCAACTCCATCTGGCTCACCCAGGTTGAACTCCACCTTCAGAAATCGCAGCCGTGTTAACCATGGAAGTGGTCGCAGTCGAAGGAACTGATATTTCTCCTGAAGACGCTACTCTCGAAGCCGGATCGATCTCTAGCCACCGAAACAAGCAACGCAAGCAGGCATCGAACGCTCCGGCATTGCCAACTGGCCAGTTAAGCGGGTCCGATACCCTAATGCCGAACGGATCTGTCCAGCATCTCCCTCGCACACCCAGGCAATCACGTCTGCCAGATGATCACGTCAAAGTTGTGATTCGCCCGAGGGACGGCCTCAACCTCTCCAAAGTAGGGGAAGCACAACTGCGTGATGCTCTTCTGCGTTAAGTAAATCTGCATGCAATGCTACTCAAAGAGGACATTTATCGCACATGCGTTGGAGCTAATCTCATCGTAGTAAGCACCCCTTATCTATCCAACGCAGAAATCTATGACGTTCGAGCCTACGTCACTTCCCCAGAGAACACAGCAAAGATAGTGATCCTTAGTTTTCCCCCCTACCACTTTACTGAAGACGTTTCAGCAAGTCATGTTAATGACCGCAACCCCACAATACTACAAGCTCCCCGAATGAGAAAGACAAACACTTTACTCATTGTATTTCATCGCGACCAAGTCCCTTTCTATATCTACTTTCGAAAAGCCGTTTACAAATATTACCTACATAAGAAGCGCACTGAGGTCTGCGACAAATGCGGGGCAGTCGGCCACCGTTCGGATGTCTGCCCCAAACCAAATACCGTAATCTGCCCGCTGTGTGGCACACCCAACCCTGCTACTGCTCATCTAGGCACCCTTAAGTGTCTTCTGTGCGGCCCAGCCCACCAGAGAGATGACAAAACCTGTCCTCAATCAGACAACTCGCCTTCTTATTTACCATCGCCAACAAAAAGCTGAACTCCAACAACAGTACCTTTAAACCACGATTTCGTCGCAAAATGCGCATCCGTAACGCCAGGAGGTGAAGCCTAGTGACACCCTTTCTGCAGTCTCAGTCCAACCTCTAAGCGCCGTGGCTCACGCAGCCAATCAAAGCGGTGGTGCAAGAATCAGCCCCAGGAGCTCCAATTGGTATCTGCGGCGCCCGAGGCTTCAGATGGTGGCGCCCCCCCCCCCCCTTCAGCAGCGGCAACCTGGTCTCACCCTCTCCACCCCTACGTTAAGCTTGGCTAGCATTGATTGATTGATGATGTGTGGGGTTTAACGCCCAAAACCACCATATGAATATGATGAGACGCCGTAGTGGGAGCTCCGGAAATTTTGACCACCTGGGGTTCTTTAACGTACACCAAAATCTGAGCACACGGGCCTACAATTTCGCCTCCATCGGAAATGCAGCCGCCGCAGCCGGAATGCGAAACCGCGACCTGCGGGTCAGCAGCCGAGTACCTTAGCCACTCTACCACCGCGGCAGGGCGAGCTTGGCTAGCGTTGCCTCCCAACCTGCTCCTTTAATAATACAGCCCTACAACTACACACACGGCCACACTTAATAAAGAAACTATGTTAAATGCTATCACACAGCAGCTGCGTTCACTCCGTACGTTAGTACAAGAACTGAGCGTTGAAAACGCTGCTTTTCGGAAACAACTTGCCCAGCAACCTCCGTCCTCTTCTTTGCTTTGCTGACCTCCACGCCAACTCCGCCTCCACCCCCACTTCCCTACAAGAAAAGCTCCAGACAAAGAAGAACCAGCCACACCATCGTTGCAACCACCTACCGCCTCCGCACCCGTTTTGCCTGTAGAATTTGTACCGCAGCAGCAACTCCACGAGACGATTGAAACCATACTTGAACGGCAGTTATTGCCAATGCTTGAACGTACCATCGCGAAAACACTAGAGCGATCCGTCGAGCAAAGTTTGAGCACCATCTCACCTTAATGCTCAACGGAAAGCTGGAAGCCCGAGCGACAATTATCCAGAATAACCTTGAAGCCACGCTTTCGAATGTTCTCGCCGGCTACAATAGCAGAGTCACGGAGCTTGAGCGGTGTACACATCGGTCTCCGTTCACACACACGTCAGAAGCCTTATGGTCGCATTAACCAAGGTGGGCATGAGTAATCCGCAAACTCAGTACATCATCTGGCAGTGGGACTGCCATGGCTACCGCAGTAAGAGAAGCGTGATTCAACAATTTCTAGCAACACTCAAAGAAACAGATACACTAGATATTATTGCTTTACAGGAATAGGGCGGACAGGCTAAGCTGGTCGAATACGCCTCCCTTGCGACTGCTCAAGCCCCTGACAGTCGCGAAGTCCTTACCACCCTCGTGAAACGAAATACCCCTGTTATTTAATACCACTCTCTGATACCATGTCACATGTTATATTGGAAGTGCTCTCTTCATCTTGGCGGACACCCACCAGTATGTTCACGGTCAATATTTAGAGCAGCCCACGACAACCACATCACTTCCACAAGCTGCTATCTTACGTCAAGAAGCTGGCAAAAATTTTCCCCCTCGTCGTGGTAGGGCATTTTAACACTCCTCCGCTTGTGGCTACATCCACGACACCAGAAAGGGACGAATGCTGTGGCAAGACACCCACAATCTTGGCAACACCCTTATCACAGACCCGGCATACCCTACGCGAATGGGCAACAACGTTGCCACAGACACCACTCCTGACCTCACTTTCACAGCAAACATTACGCATGCAGAGTGATCCAACCTTCATGAACATCTAGGCAGCGACCACTATATAATACAAACGATCGTGAAGGCTGGCACGCAGCGCAGGAAATCCAAAGAGCCTGCCCTGGTTGGACTGGGATGTGTTCCGCGAATTGTGTGCATCGGCCTCTCCAGAATCTGCCACCTTGATCGACAAATGGACAGTTTCCTTGCTACGAGACGTTAAGCGTGCTACCAAGACTCCCCCAGAAGACGCCGTAGGTGACACGGTAGACATCAAGCTGCTGCACATTTGGGAGGCTCTAGCTGGTATGTGCAAGTGCTATAACCCCAACAAACTGAACCGCTCATTATGCAAACGCATTGCTATATTAACGCGTCAAATTGAAGATTACGCTCTTCAACTCTCCCGCCAGAACTGGCATCAGTTTTGCAACGCTATGGAAACGTTATGAAAAAAAATACTTCACGTGCCCAAAACGTGAAATATTCTTCGTCATTATATATAACCATAATCGACAAAAACTGCTCATTATCCAGGTACATATGAAGACCTTATCTAGGACCTAGCTAGTCGGTATATTTTCAGCGCTACTTATGTTGCTCTCCCATGCTACACTGGGGTGGGTAATCCAGCCCTCGACTCTCGGATTACAAAAGCGGAAGTAAGGTCCACAGTTTTACATCTGACACCCCAAACAGCGCCTGGCCGAGATAAAATGACAAATAAAATCTTGCAAAACCTTGACGAAGAGTCACTTGAAACGCTCTCATCTTATCGGCAAATTGTTTGGGAGTCGGGAGAAATACCAACAATGTGGAAACCCACCACAGTAATTCCGATACATACACCTGCAAAACCACTCACCCTGGAGAACCTTCGGCCGATATCTCTCACATATTGTGTCGGCAAGGTACTCGAGAACATTATTCACACTTGACTGCAAAGGTACATGGAAAAGAATGCCCTCTACCCACATACAATGTTCGGGTTTTACCCTAAACTTTCGACACAAGACGTAAAGCTGCAACTGAAGAGTCACATTATCGACGGTGAAGACGGTTCTTGGTATGGCACACATGCTATTCTGAGGCTAGACCTCACCAAAGCATTTGGCAATGTGTTACATTCAACCATCCTTGGCGCCCTCGCCATGCTCAACGTAGGCGCGCGTAACTACCGCTACATCCGCAACTTTTTAACGGACAGGACAGCCCCACTCTCGGTCAACCATTTGCCTGCACCTTCCATCACTTTCGGTGGGAAGGGGACACCACAGCGGTTGATCTTCTGTCCATTTCTTTTCAACCTGGCCATGCTTCACCTTCCGCCACTTCTAGAACACATCCCCAACCTCCACCATAGCATATACGTGGACGATATCACCTTGTGAATTGCCAGGGGTAGCGACGGAGAGATACAGGATGCACTTCAATTCGCTATGGATAGAATCGCAACTTGCACGGAACAACGAGCATTGTCCTGCTCGCCCCCAAAGTCACAGTTACTCGTCTATCGACCTAAATTATCCTACAACAGAGACCTTCCCGCGATAAGTCTGCATGTGCAACGTCACCCTATACGAACAGTCCCTACCATTCGCGTATTGGGATTCTGCATTCAGCAGAATGGCGGTAATTCGGAAACAATGCAACTACTACACCATCATGTCTTATGAGACTACTAGGCTCATGTCCCGCATCGCCAACAAACAGCACGGCATGAAGGAGGCCAATCTCATACGACTGGTGACCGTCTTTTCCATAAGCAGAATTCTTTACGTTGCTCCATTTAAAAACTTACGCTCACCAACAAGAAAAAAAAACTTAACATATAGATCAGGCGCTGCTACAAGTGTGCGCTACATCTACCCATGTCTATACCCAATGCGAAACTGAATGACCTAGGACTTCACAATACTATAGACGAATTCATTGAATCCGAACGTATATCGCACTACGAACGATTAGGCCATCATCTCATGTGCGCACTCGGCATACCTTACGTCTCCCAGTTTGGCCAGAAACTTCCAATTTTTTCGGACATTCGCGACACCTTTGGGATTCTCCCCATACCACGCAATATGCACCCTGAATATAACCCGGAAAGGCTAGTAGACCGCTCCAAGCAACTAGGTAAGCGCTTCGCGAAAGTCCCGCACGTGGCGTATGTAGACGCAGCGGAATATTGTACGCCTTGAGCCGTGGCTCTCGCGGTCGCCTCTGGGCCGCAGTACATAATTACCGCAACTGGCATCATTCGCACCAACAAACTCGAAGAAGGCGAGGAAGCAGCCATCGCTCTCGCCTACGCTTCAACCCAAGCATCCTGCATCATTAGTGACTCCAAGATCGCTATTCGCATCTTTACCAAAGATTCGATCTCCCAATCAGCGCTCCGAATTTTTAAGTATACGTCTGTTACGTCGCCGCCACGTTGAGATCATCTAGACTCCAGGCCACTCGGGGCTCGCGGGAAACGAACACGCCCATGACGCTGGCCGAGCTTTCATCCACCGGGTGTGTCATCCAAACAGAGCACCACCCCCTCGTGACCTGACGCGGCTGAGCGAGAAATCATGTTCTCATCGTTTCGCGATAATGCGAGGGACAGAATGATTACCTTTTGAGAAATCCTAATGTATTACCGCAAGGCCAGCCTTAAGTACTCACAACCAGACAAGTGACTTAGTAAGCAGCAGTACACTACAAGGCATCTATTACAGACACCCACTTCTGTCCGTCACTGTACAGCCTTATTTACCGCTCTGTTCACACGCCACAATGCAAAGCGTGCGGTGCACCTAATGCCGAGCTTGGCCATATTATATAGGCCTGCTCCACAGCTACTCACTCAATTAAACACAGCATGAACACTACATTCAGAATCACCACAGCCGAGCAATGGGAGGCTTTGCTGCTCAGCATGTGCCCAGGGGACCAGCTCTGAGCTGTCCGGCTGGCTGAAGACGCCGCTAGGATCCAAGGCCTGGCCGCCGCCTGAGGAAGGGGGTTACAGAGGGGCCCATCTCCCGGCCCCACACCACCTTTGATCCCAGCAAGGACACTTCAATAAAACTTCTATTCTCTCTCTTTTGTCGAACCGTTGAACCATCTTACCCCCCCCCCCCCCCCCCTATGCTAATTTTGCTTCGCGCCAAGTTAAGGAATGACCACGAGAGCACCCAAACGTAAGCGGCTAGGTTGATAGGTTGATAGGTTGATCGGTTGATAAGTTGATAGGTAGATGGATAGATACGCTCAAGGTTACCGAAATTTGTTAAAATGCTTCGCATTTGAAACTTTAGCACATTCCGATTCAGACATAACCGACACAGCAGCACTTGTATGCAATCCATGCAATCTTCCTTTCCGCTTACCTCTAGCATAACTGTAATAGCCAGTGTGTCGGAACAATTAAGGTGGCACAGCGTAAGCAAGTCATTTGCGACAGTATCACAGACTAACTGCTTAACGACCTTACTTTTACCCATTTTAGCTTTGTGCCCTTTTTCTGACATTTGCAACAAGTACGGTATACAAATGGGCAATTTACTGGCAAATGTTGACTCCCGCAGCAATGACACGCTTTAGTTCCATGCTGCGTAGTTTTTTCAGCCTTCGCGAACATACTGCTCTTCGCGTTCATACCAGTATTTGCTTGTGGACGCCATTCTTTTGCTTGTCCATGCCAGTGCACGTTATAGACTCTTGCCGCGACGCTTTCCCTAATCGTAGAAGCCATCTGCTGCGTGTCTTTCGTATCGGCTTTCACAGCCGCAGCGATGGTGCAGGCGCGTTCCCGAGTCAGCGTCTGGAGGGACTAGTAAATGGCAGCGTACCGCGTCTGATTGAACGCCGGTAATTAGTCGGTCCTGCAGAGCTTCATCTAGAAATGTGCGAAAGGCACACGTTGCCGCCAGGTTCTCGGGCCCCACGATGGATCTTGCTACGCTTTCATGCTTCTCTTGTGTATGTCAGTGGAAGCAATACCTTTCTGTCATCGCGGAACTCTGAAAAGCGTAGTGCTTTTTAGTGCATTTACGGCATCTTCGAATGCCACTTTGATCGGCGTCTATGAAAGAAGCAAGCTTCTGAGGGTCCCGTAAGCCTTTTCACCAATCGTGGTCAAGATTTGCAGTTTCTTTTATTCTGTAATGTCATTGACGTTGATGAGGCGCTAGAGCCGCTCCAGGTATACCTTGAAGCCCCTGGTGTCCGGGTCGAACTCAGGCATGTAACTTAGAAGTGTGGCAGCTTGGGCTAGTTGGTATGGCATGACGATAGTTATAGCGCGAGAACAAAACGACGCTAGTGTCTTTCGTGTACTTCTTGTCTCTGTTTCGTCGTTTTGTTCTCGCGCTATAACTATCGTCACGAACTCAGGCAGTTTACCAAGTGTAGCACCCGACGACTTGCCGCATCCCATCTACGTCGCCAAATTTGTTGCAACTAACACAGAGGGACGCACTCGTTGCAAGTCTTTATTCCTACGGCTACATACTCAGTCACACAACAAAGAAAATTGCATACCAGTGCCCGTGAACACACGCATCTAATTACCAACACGCACATACACAAAAAACAAGTCCTGCAATCCCACTAGCGGTGCCGTCTTTCACGCGAGCATTTTCACTAGCAAACCCACCGCGCGTTTGATGCAACATAAGAGCGTTGGGCGCGACGCCTCAACGCGTTCGATGCAACGCCGTAGAGCGTTGGATCCAACTACACGTGGATGCGACGCACCCTTGTTCAATTCTTCCGTATGCCCCTCTTCATTTGCTGATGAAGACGCGCGAGGCCAGTTCCTGCGGTTGGAAGCATTATAAAACTTCTTCCGTATGCGCTATGTTTCAGCTGTGAATTTTGGGTCATTCACCGCGGTGTTTTGGGCGACGACTGTGCTGATGTACACCCCTTCTCCCGCCCCCACAGAAGCCTACCTCAGATCATAAAAGCACTTGAAAACAATACAAAAGTTTAAGTTTTTGAAGTGGTGGACCGTTTGTAGAACCATTGCGAATGAGGTTTTAAGCGTGCAAAACTCTCGTCGTTAGTGGTAGATAATTCAGGTTTCGAGTGAGGAGCCCTCATGACTGATCATGCAGGCTTTTTTAGTTTCGTTAGTGATTGGCGCTGCATGTGTAAATAAATGACAGCATATTCTTAGCGCAGAAGTTATCGCCAACAAATGATGCTCATCTATTGAACATATGGGAAGCTAGTAGACTAATTCGTGACTGCGTACAGTACAGAATCTTTGACGAACTCTCTGTTGCCAGGGGCCAAGACACTATGAATATTCTCTTTTGCGTGCCACCCAACTAACCTCCAAGATTATTGCTTATGGACAGATAAGGAGAGTGCCTGCTATGTTTTTGTATGAACAGAAGTTATGCAAGCCAACGTTCTCTGTATACCCCTTGTACAGATTCCTGTTGTCGCCGATCTACCTGTGGGCAGAAACCTTCAGGATCACATGCACGTCGACGGTATCGCTGCCAAGCTGTCTTGGCTAGCACTCGCCCGGTTCAACTTGACAGACTGATCATCAGGTGAAGAGATAAACTTGTTGTGTTCCAAGCAGACAATCAAGACCAAATTATATTGATGGTAGTTCATGTGCGTAAAGTTAACGCTGCCAAATAGGAGGACGTAGCCATGCACCACCTCCCATAAAATGCTTCACTGATACTGTCGAGTAGGTAAATGCTTTCGTAATGCATTTAGGAAGAGTAACAAAGTCATTAGACAATCCCCAGCAAAGTAAAAAAGCTTTCGGTTGGACGCTACCTGTGAAATGTTTAACAAGATCTACTGGTGTGTACTACCTTACGCATTTTGTTTTTTAGGGCAAAATGCCACTACAAAAAAAAAGCAGAACAAAGCGAAACTAAACTAGGGTAGTGCTCATAGTGTGCAGTACGTATTTCCTACCGGTGTCGTGGGCAAAAATAGTTGAGCTTGCAATAAACCATGTCCGCTCAATGTAACTCTTTGTGCGCTCTTCGTTTCAGTGTCGTTTCGTGTTAAATAAGCGCTATGAATTCATTCGAAATGGTTCACTAACGCATGTCGTTGCATCAGCCTACACTTTCTCATGATTTCTGATATCAAACATCAGTTCTTAGCATCACTATTTACGTTTAGAATACAGCTGACCTATTACTTGTATACCAGTGCATGGCTGGGCTTGACTGCACCTGCGCGTGCTTCTCTTTTTACGACCTTCTCACCTGTCGTGAATACAATGGGAGAGTTTCTGAGCATGTTTCGCGACCCGTCGGCGAAAGGGGTGCAGTGACCCTGACATTGCATCTGCGCTGAGCACACGGCACTAGTCGACGTGAAACCGTGGAATAAGGGTTCTCGACGAAGAGGGGGAGAAGTATTATTAAATAAATCAAGGATAGATGGAGGACTGTCTACTAAAAAAACTAATTTACCAGATGGCTTGCCGCTTAATGTTGGTATGTATGTACTCTCGGATAATACAAGCTGAACTTCAGTGAAAATGCGGAAGAACCAGCTATTGAGCGGCATAATTCAGAAGACATAAAGCACTGGCAACGACCAGAGAGATAGAACAATGCTGCACCTGCTCTGCAATCAGAGCCCTAAACACCTTTGGCTCTTGGTATCGTCAAACAACGATGTCGCAATTAAAAGAGATCGTTCAAAGAATGACAAGCACACCTTCCCTTTTCTAGCTATTTTCAGTTTTTATTAATCTTTCCAATAACATTTGGAGTGTTTTCACGGCTAAAATCTGCTGCTTGCATCCTGAAAACTCTTTCGAAGACGTACGTTTGTTGTAGATCTAATGGCCAAAAAAGTGCGTATAAGGAGAAAGTGAAAAAAGAAAGAGGGGGCCCTTGCTGCTGAATAACGTCTTTGGAAGGCACGCACAGAGAGTGGTGGTGTGCGTTGTCAAGGTGCTAAACCCACTTGGAAATACTGATTTCGGAGACCCCAAGCCCTTTTAGCATTCCTTTGTACTGCAAGCCGCGTCCAGGAATTATTCGAACGAAGTACACAGCTGCTTACGCTCGCAAGCCGCTTGCCCAGGAACTAAAACTGTAGTGTAAATGAGTTCTGCAATATCTTTATATAGCTCGTAGAACAAGATGTTTTGAAATAGAAATTGACAACATTACGACTTTTCGGCATGTAAGCAGCTTTTGTTTCCGAATAATCTGTGTATATTCTCTTGTGGCTTATTGCTACAAGCAGGTCGTTGTGAATTGACTTTTATCTCTAGGGTAGCTTGCTTTATTTGGATATTTACCCACCATAGCTGCATTTTAATCAATGCTTCGTTAGTGTTAAGTCTACAGTAATTTTTTGAGCAGAGAAGGCAGCCGCAAACCTTCAGTGCGCGCATTATGCACATGGATATATATTAGCTGGCTGTGCTGTGTTCCTTCACAGCCACTCGATCGTCCGGGTTCTGTATTGCAAGTCTCTCGGGAAAAACACCCGGTGTTTCTTTTCACCAACTCCCAAACAATACTGAAATGGGCAGCAAGTGACGAAAAATATTGGGAGAGACAACCTGATTATCAACGACAAGTCTGCATCGACAGTCGTATGCAGCAAACACTTGCGCGATGATGACTATGTGCCTGCGTTCCACATCAGAACACTTAAATCTGACTGTGCGACCGCCAACTCTTTTCTAGAACTATCTTTCCTATGGCAATGGAAAGGAAAATGGTAGGTGTAACCTTAAGAGACAAGAAGAGAGCAGAGTGGATTAGGGAACAAACGGGGGTTAAGGATATCATAGCTGAAATCAAGAAGAAATGGACATAGGCGGGGCATGTAGCGCGTAGACAGGATAACCGCTGGTCGCTAAGGGTAACTAACTGGATTCCTAGAGAAGGCAAGCGGGTTAGGGGACGACAGAAGGTTAGGTGGAAAGATGAGATTAAGAAGTTTTCGGGTAAAAATTGGCAGCAGCAAGCACAGGACCGGGTTAACTGGCGGAAAATTGGAGAGGCCTTTGTCCTGCAGTGGACGTAGTCAGGCTGATGATGATGATGATGATGTTGTTGTTGTTGTTGATGATGATGATGATGATGATGATGATCTTTCCTATATAATTTCAAGTGCACAGAAGCCTTACAAAGATCCTGCTTCGCGAGTTTGGCCCCGACGTAAAACATCTAGGAAGCGAAAAGTGGAGACCAACAAAACAGAACTGGTGTTGCAACTTCACAAGACACTTTCACTGGACAAAAAGCAGCAAGTGCTCGTACGCAAACAATAAACAGAGAAGTTTATCGGGCGGGTCAATACCAGACCATGATAGGACGATTGTGCTCCTAAGCGTCTCAGCCTCGTTCAAAATGCGAGAAAGTGCAGCGATTGCTGAAAAAAGATAAAATGCATCCCAATATTATCGCGAAGCACCACGCATGCGTTAAGAAAATTGCAGCAGCTGCACAGAAAGTGAAGAAAAAGGCCATGGTTCTTTTTCATTAATTAGAATGTGACGGAATAAATCATTGAGCGTACCCAGACGATTTTGTAAGGAGTGTGTGGTATGCCACTTTCTATCACAGAGGCTACGATCATGCGCGCACTTCGGGGCTTGTGACACTGCCATTAAAGTGCACTCTTCAGAAGTGTACAGGTTCAAGCCCAGCATCATCTGGTATGAGCAATGCCATAAACCATTTGTGCGTCTTGAATGATTAAGCAACTCGTTTTTCAACACGCGGTGAGTGGAGAAGTGCGCTCGAACTCGTATTCGCGCATTGTATGGCGCGGCGGAATACGGCAGGGTCGCAGCGCCCCTCAAACCAGTGGCGAGATGCATGTACTACAATCATTGTGAAAGCTGTAAGAAGGGAGCGCGCAGGTGCAGTCCAGTTTGGCTGTGACCAGTGTGAGGTCATTTAAAATAGTAGTGTGACGGCGGTAATGGCAGGTTATTTTATTTTCTGCTTAAGCAACCGTTTCTGAGCACAGAACTGGAAAAAACTCATCAGATGATGCATTTTCTTTTTTTGGTCGGTTTTTATCTTTTTTATTTCTTTGACTACCCAGCTGAACTCATTACTCGCGTATTCTGGCTATTTCAAGTACATACTTCAAAAGGTCGTTGTAGAAATTCAATCAAGGTGTCAGCAGAGTACATGTGTAGGCCTTCAGGTTACCTAAAAGTTGTGTTGACTCACTGAAACATTACACTTGCTTCACCAAGTTTACATAGTAATCACTAGCTCTCTAGCAAGTCATGTGGAGTTGAGAGATGCCACTTTTTTCAATGTTTGTTTTCTACTTTTTCATTATCTAAACACATTTCGCTTTTCTTTGAGAGGATTTTTGTCTTTTACTTGTTTATTGGCATATTTCATTTCATTTCATTTATTTTCTCTCAATGCACAAGGCGTTACAGAGAGGAGTGGTGGAAAAACAAGTAACAATCTGCACAAACAAATGGAGCATGTTTAAAAAGGGTATGCGTTTACGGTACTCTTGAAGTTGGCCGGGTCAGTGATGGATGCGCTGGAAGAGGGAAGGTGATTCCAGTCCATGCTTGTTTTGGACACGAATGAATTAAAACAGAGGTTTGTACGGCTGCTTGTAATTCCATTCCAACTTTGAAGTGGTGATTGCTACGGGATGAATTGTAGGATGGCGGCAAAAAAAGCGAGGTACTCTGTGAGCGCATGGTATGGTACAACTTGTGGAAGAGGCACAAGCGCGAGATTTTGCGGCGAAATGATAGGCTAGGTAGATTTAAAGTTGACTTCATATGGGTTACGCTTGCTGTACGGGAATAGTTCGACAAAATGAAACGAGCGGCGCGATTTTGAATTGCTTCGATGCTACTGATATGGATGTTTACGTGGGGATCCCATGCAGGTGATGAATATTCTAGCTTTGGTCGGACTAATGTTTTATAGAGCAGAAGTTTTAGTTGCATCGGGGCAAGGGAGAAGTTACGGCGTAAATAACCAAGTGTGTGGTTAGCATTGTTTTTAATAAGGTCAATGTGAGGCTGCCAGGAAAGGTTGTCAGAAATTGTAACGCCAAGGTACTTGTAAGAGCTAACTTTAGTAAGGGGAGAATTATTAAGTACGTAGTTAGTAGAAATATAACATGTTCGACGTGAAACTCTTATTACCTTGCATTTAGTAACATTGAGGTTCGTTAGCCAAGTATCGCACCAAGAGGAAACATTGTCTAAGTCACACTGAAGGGCAAGGTGGTCAGAAAGGGTTTTAATTTCACGGTAAATACCACAATCATCGGCGAAAAGTTTAATAGAAAAAGAGATGTTATGTGGCAAATCGTTAATGTAAATCAGGAAAAGTACTGATCCAAGAACTGATCCTTGGGGGACGCCAGAGGTTACGGGTGAGAGGGGGGAGTTGGATTCATTCGCAGTTACAAATTGGGAGTGGTCTATTAGGAAGCATTCAATCCATTTTAATATGTTAGCATCAAGATTAAGTTTGCTTAGTTTTAGCAGTAGCAG